TTCAACTCAATATTTTCTAAAGTATGCGTTGTAGGAAACATTGTTGAAGATAAAAGTTGCAGTGTTTTGAGGAGAATATGTGATAGTGACCTTAAAGATTATGTGGATAGTAGTTTTTAAGCTCACTTTAAAATCAAATCTTTCTTAAATGGAAATGGGTATTTTTTATTGTAGAATTCGGAAAATCGGATAATTTTGTTTCCAAAACCTTTTAGGATTTATTTTTCAAATGTTTTTCACTGAAAAAAATATTAGAGGAATTTAAAATACGTATGTGCCTTGTAACTTTGTATGAGTGTGTGTGCGGTGCGTGCGTACATACGTGTGTATGAGAGAGAAAGAGAGAAGAAGGGAGAAAGCCAAAACAAAAGAAGAATGATTATAGTGTGTTTCTTCATTCGTAAATCATTTTCAAAATACTCACTATTTTTTTCCATACAATATTAAATTCTGTTTTCAAATTCTTGTCCTACATTCTGACAAATTTCTCGAGAAAATCGGCTTACAAGCTTTAGCTCTATTCTGTCTCTCAAATCTTATATCGAATACAGCAGCTTGTAGGTCAATTTCGAGAAATTTTTCAGAATGTAAGAAAAGAATTTGAAATTAGAATTAATTTTTGTATACTAGAAAATAGTAGATACTTTTAAAATGATTTATGAATGAAAAAGCAAACTCGAATCATTCTTTTTTCTTTTTCTTTCTTATTCTCTCTCTCTCATACACATATACATATACTGGTACGCACGTACATTCACACAAAGTTACAAGGTCAGTGTGTATGTCGACTTTTTCAGTAAAAGAAACTTTCAAAATATATGTTCCAAATGATTTTGGACACAAAGTTATCTGTTTTCTCGAATCCCTTAATAAAATACTTTTTTTCATTTAAGAAAAGAAGTTGACCTTGAAAACTGTTACGTACATAGTTTTTAAAGTCATTATCATATAGCCCTTTCAAATCTCTCCAACATTTACATTCAACATTTTTTTCTATAACGTATACTTTAGAAAATAGTGAAGTGGACATTTTTCAAATAAATACTCTAAGGTAAACGTCCCAGTGATCGAACATACATGTCCCAATGATTGACATATTGGTTTTGTATTTTTCATTGTTGAAATGCTTTTCAATATACAAAACAATATAATAAATATTTAGAAAAGAAATTACTTTGAAAGAAGTTACTTTGTAATTTTGTTTCATTTATTGATAAACATTTTAACAAACACAAGTATATTATTATTAATTCAATTATCGGTACACGTTCAATCACCAGGACGTTTACTTTATATAATTCATGATTTGAAAAATTAATATTTGGAAAAATTTGAATAGACATTGTAAAGAGAAAATGTTGGAAAAAGTACAAAATAGCATAAGAACTTTGATATAAAATATCATTATTTTCTTATATATCAGTTTTAGATCACATTCAATAGAAATTAATTATTCCTTTATTTTGGAGGAATATTTCGACTCTCAAAATGTTGAGAGTAGCACGCAATGAAAACTATATGAGTCTGTTAGTTTTTTGTTGCTTTGCAGCATACCCAAAAGCTATCAAAACCGTTGAGACATTACTCTAAGATATTACCTCCTTGTAAGATGGTTCTTTGAAATTGGGACGGCTAATGTCGTTACTACTAAAACTTAATTTATTTGCTATTTGAACTTAGACGTTACGACGAGAAATGCTTGCTGCCAGAGACAAATGAAATTTTAGTACATTTTATACGATAAAGTATTTAGAAATGGCTGCTTCTTTCTACAATGTGTTAATGCACATTGTTAATTTAAGCTAATAAATTTTTATATCGTAAATAAATTTCAACCATAATAGCCAGTAATAACAATTAATTTTTCAGTTCGGATCATTTATTAAAATTCAACAAATAGTACTAAATTATTCATTACGCGCGAAGAACTAAGCATTAAAGTTAAAATATTTATCAAAGTAAATAGCACTTTGTATTTGCATTAATTAAGATAAGGTATCACTTGCTTTTCTTTTAATTATCGTGAAAAATGTTTGAGCCTGTACTTGCAACATTACAACGCTTGAGCGACAAAGCTTCGAGACAATCGCGCGTGTTACTCTTAAAAACAAAGTGGTAATTCTGGTTGTTATTTTAATTGCGATTAAAGCAACGATGTTGTGTGCTCGTGTCGCATAAAGAGCGTAATATCGATAAAAGATTAAAAGGAAATTCCGAGTAATCCCTTTCCAGATAATTGCTTCTCCTTGCTACTCTCGCGGCTGTAATCTCCGGGTAATAATTAAGTTATTTAGGGTTTACGGTAAATTACTGCAACCAGTAAGGACGCATCCTATGCGAAGTAGGGAGTAACATTTCCTCTCAAATAATAAACGATGCAGGATCATTAGCGGAATTATTATAGGGCATACAACACACGCAGATATATTGTGTATTGATTGACGAAATTATTCGTTGTTATTGATTAAGACGACAGAGACGAAGATGCATTAATGATATTATGGAAAATATACCATATCATGGAAATTATTCTATAAAGACATCCAGGTAGACTTTCGTGATTATCATAACACGAGATAATCGACGATGAAAACTTTTCAATTGATTAAATTACATTTATGAGGCAAATATACTGTATTGATTGATAATCAATTGAATATCCATCGTACAGTAATATAATTTTTTTATTAGATTTACTAATAAATAAGTTTACTAAACGTTACATTCAGATTTTCATATTATAGTTCATATGACATATTGTTTAGAGTAAATTTTGATCGTTCTTCTAGTGTTTCTTTCGTGTTTCTCTTTCGTTAGTTTATACGATAAATATGGGTGTCACATGAGACGCAATATTTATAAATCAATTAGTGAAGCTACTGCCAAATTTACGTACACTTGTCTATCGGGGCAAGGATATTTCGAGAGTATTTTATGAAAAGTCCAAGAATATATTCACACTTTGTTTCACTAGAAAGTATGATCTTTTCGTAGATTCACTTTCACTGGTTTTCTTCTTCCTCACTCTCTTCTTCTTCTTCTTTCTTTCCTTTTCCGTAATACGTTACCATCATTTTCCTCAAATACAGCTAATTTTCTACTGCGAGCAAACGATTTAATGACGAAGATAAAACATCAGTTTACATCTGCGTGTAGATTACACTCCATTGCGACATTATGAACGATGTAAAAAATTTTAGGCGTGGTATGTGTAACGCGTGATGGATATGCAAAGCAATTGATACCGGTATAATTTCGACAGTTACAAATTCCGATGCTGTGAAAACACCACAACCGTTCTCCCGGTCTTTTTTGTTTGTTTTTCACGTTTATTTTCACATTTATTCGATATGAACTCTCACGTTCGGTGGAAATGTGACAATTAAAGAGTAGAAATCGAGTAACAGTTAAGCGTTAAAAATAACATTATGAGTTACGACGGGGAACGTATTTCACATTCCGCGCGAAACATGAAAAACTGTCGTTTGATTTACCGTTTTAGTCTCCAACGCAATTGTATTTCCGCTTGATAGTCATCAGAAAATCGTTAAAGAAATAACCGGAATGAGTGCCCGCGCCATCGAACAATTATTGTCTCGCTTCATTATCGTATAATATAATTGACGATTTCAGTTGTATTCCGTTGAATTTCCCCTCGCTATAACACACGACCCACACAACACAAAATGTCTAAAATCGGGACATAAAACGTCTTATGTATATTTTAGACGTGGTGTGTGGAGAATCAATTCGTAAAGAAACAATGCGGCCAACGCTGAGAGATCGACATGCAAGACCAACCCCTATCTCGAGAAACGGAGCACTGCGTGTGGTAAGACGCGCGAAACCTTCCGTGGAGTATCACGTGTCACAGAGCGAGCGAGAGAGAGAGAGCGAGAGAGAGCGAGAGAGAGAGAGCGAGAGAGAGAGAGAGAGAGCAAGCGAGAGCGAGAGAGAGAGAGAGAGCGCACGAAATATACTTCCACGCGAAACATACCCTCGGTATAATAGTTAAACCGAGCTATCACCGACTCTGCCGATTTATGATCCATCGGCCGTGAAATAGAATGGCGAGGAACTCGTCAACGCTCCTTATCGAAACAGGAAGAATGACGACGATTTCTTCGGCATTCAGCGCTTCCCCGTGCGCTCGGGTGATTAAGGACCAAGGGGCAAAGCCGGAGGTAGAGATACCGCCGTAGGTGGAACGACGTGAGCGTGCGGATGGACGAAACCGCGAGGGAGAAGCATCGAAAGAGTGAAAGAGAGAGTGAGAGCGCAAGATAGAAAGAGAGAAGAAGAGAGAGGGAGGGAGGGAGGAAGAGAGAAATAGATAGGGAGAGAAAGAGAGTCAGAGGGAGCAAGGACAACGTTTGAAGATTGGGTCGCTTGTAGATATGAACGCGCGGCTTATGCGCGAGGCGTGCGCCTCCACTACCACCACTACTATCAGCACCACCACTGCCGCCGCCACCACCACCTGCACCGCCGCCTCCACCACCGCCACCATCGCCGCCACCGTCGCCGTCGCCGCCGCCACCGCCACCACTTCGTACCACCTCTGCCTCCTCGATCAGTCGACCCCGTGCAACGCGGCACGCCGGCCGCCGCGTGATAACTGTGTACATCTACGTACGTGGTGCGTTGCTATCTTCGTGGCAGCCCGCCAATCTCGCAATCGTAACGTCAAGTTTACAATTTCTGTCCGGGAGCGTCGTCATCGTCGAGGGACGTACGGGGGATTGGAGTACATCGCGAGGTGTGACGCGAGGCCGCCCGAGCAACGATACACTCGGCGGCGGGGGATATAAAAAGACGGATTAACAAGCGGAAGCGATCTCAAGGGGTGAAACTCCATATCCGGAGTGCGCGCGAGTGCATTGTGCACGAGTGTGTATGGGAGGGAAGGTTAGGGTGAGCTTACAAGGCAGGCAGGCAGGTAGGCAGGCAGGCAGGAAGGAAGGAAGGAAGGAAGGAAGGAAGGAAGGAAGGAAGGAAGGAAGGAAGGAAGGAGGAAGGAAGGAAGAGAGGAAGGAAGGAAGGAAGGAAGGAAGAATGAAAGAAAGGAAGGAAGGAAGGAAGGAAAGGAGGGTGGAAGAATCGGGAGGAGACCGCGAGGAGGTGATCGGGTTAGAGAGTGGAAGTTAGCCATTTGGGGAATCATGGTTTCGTAAGGAACAGCTCGCCGTTATGGGCGCGATTTCACGGCGAGACGGAGCTGCAAAGGTGGTTGTTACGAAGAAGAAGTGCGATAATATTATTTCTCGGCAATCGGCTCAGCGGCGAGTAGAGAGCGCGGTTGTCCAAGGGAGAGATCGGCGTCTCGTCGTTTTTACTTGCGATTTTACGCGGCGAAAGCAATAACGACGACAGCCCTTGCCGATTACTGTTGGCCAATTACTGTCAGACGGCGAACACACCTCCGTGACGCGCGCGCGTTCGTCGGAATGTTCCTCCTCTCTGATGAGTAACTTGTGTTCCGATATCAAAGATGAAGAGAGGAATACGAGATGCCGAGGTGCGCGCGATTTTACTCTTTTATTCTTTTTTCTTGTCGAAAAAATATGAAAACATCGGACGTGGCATGTGCGGAATGTGCGCTGTGACGGTCCGCGCAATCTCAGAGACTGTAAAAAGAATTAGGAGCGAAATAAAAATCGCGCAAGTGAAATTTCTACCCTCTCCAAAGGAGCTGCATTGATGAAAAATCCAGAAGCGCGTCGTTTGCGCTCAAAGGTTAAGATATTTTTTAGATTCCCTTTTAATGCCGTACACTTCGCGATGTGACGTTGCACACGAAGCATCAGGAGATACACAAGCGCGATTTCTACCGCTAAAATATCGCTTTTATGCATGTAAGAATATGAAAACATGGTTTACCCGAGTAAATATTATTGCAGAGTTGTTGTCGTTTGTATAACCGAACGTCTCCCATCGGGGAATTTGCACAGTTTTACACAAAGCCGCGCAACCGGCAGGTTCTACCTCCTCTTTTTTTTTGGCGAAGGATGATTTCTATCTGCATAGAGGGTGGTCTGTATGCAGCGAGAGATCGCGGCAACTTCGCTCACCGGATATTAATTATCAATCCGGATTCGCGTCGATGTAATCGGTATCTCGTATTCTCTCGCGCTCCTTCTTTTCCGTAATTAACCGTGAATCGAACTTTCCTCTCGGAAGAGTCGTGAGGAATCTTCTCTCGCGTTTCTTCCTCGCCAGTTGAGATCCGCAATTCCTAACGGGACGGCTGCTGCCGGCAGTAAGTCGCAAGTATGCTCCCGATACTGCACCGGTATTCTAAATACCGCGTGCATGATTGATGTTCGCACATACGCCGTCGCGAGATTCCATCTTCGGCTGGTGAAGCTTTAATGATGATTCGGCGGTAGACTGCATTATCGCAATCGACACCGTGCGGTATTCCGGCGCTGTGGTTTACGGCGGATACCACGCTCGCGGAAGTAGGGACCGTTTCGCCAAAATACGCTGTTATTAGCGCGCGACGTGAACGATCGCGTAATGCGATAGTCGGCGAAGTTGGAATGTAATTATTAACGCTGAGCATCGCTCGCGTGATTAGCGGATCGAGGTGTGTATCGAGTGTGCGTCTCTCTCACGGAGACGCCGCGCTTAACTTTCCGCGTAGTTCAATTTACCTTCCGTCTTTTTTTAATCCTTAGTTCCGGAAACGAACGATAAGTTAGAAGAACTAAGATTGTAGTCTGATCGACGAATCCCGGCCGTTACCCGCAAGGATTAATGAGTCTTGTCTCGAGAAATGTAATAACTGGTTAACAAAACAATCGTATCCTTTTCATCTCAACCATCAATTTTAGTCAATTTTGCAACACTGATCACGAATATAACAGTCAGAAACTAGCTATAATTTCCGTAACATACTAAACAAATCGTTTCGTTATTTAGTAAAATACTCAGCGTTTTGAAAATATTTTATCCCTCTGATTTTTTATTCTATTAAATACAAAATCGTTGTGGTATAGAAATAGGGTTGTCTATTTGTTACTATAAAAGTATTATCAACTGAACAAAGCGCGTGTTCCTATAATATCTCTGTTTCGATTCTATACAGAGAAGCCATTTGGGACAAGGATGGAATTCGCAATTCGTATCGTAATGGACTCTCGATTTGGGGATAAATTTGGGCATTCTAATCGGAATCTATGTCGTACCTAGGAAAATCTTGGGAAATTTCTATGCAGAGAGTTAGAAGTGTAATATCTCAAATATTCTAAGTGGCAAATCCAAAAGCTTTCTCGATATCCTTTCTTAACTTCATTTTACATTAGAATTGAGCAAAACACGTATGCTGATTTTCCAAGTAATCTCATTATTCGGTAAAATACCTAAAGTGTCTTAGAAATATTTCACTTTCTTGATTTTTTATTTTATCGAATATTATATAAAATAGGATTCTCTGGTTGATATCACAAAAATATACTGGTTAAAAAAAGTGCAAGTTTCCACGATAATTCATCATATTTCGATTTTAGACAGAGAAATTATGTTTATAATAAGAACGAGATTCTCGTATCGTAGTGGAACGATTAACCTTGGGATAAATTTTAATCGGTATATGTGGGGAAATCGTGGGAAGTATTTTTATGTGAGTGTTATTTTGTAGACGATGTAGTAGACGATAATAATTGCAGCTTGCTAGTTGCTGGGGGAATAATCTATTGTATTACACACTAATTGCAATGATTATCACTCAATCGCACGCGGAATAATTTCGCATGACGCGCGATAGCGATTATCGCGCTTAGCCGACTTCTTCTTAACGACTACTGCTCCACTTACAATGTGACCCGCCTTTATCGCCCCGTCGCGTGACGCCAATTCTTCTCAAATAGTTTTCTGGTAAATTGGTTTACTCGATAGGATTACTCGACATTTCGTTTGATCCTTCTTTTTTCTATCATAGGCTTGGAACATTGAGAGAGAAAATTTGAGAGAGAAAGAAAGAGAAAGGGAGTGAGAAATGAGTGACGGAAGGGGGTGGAAGAGGAGAGTTGGCGTCCCACCGCGCAAATGCCGGCTTTCCACTCCCTAACTTGTTGAGTCTCTCTCTTGGCAGATACGCTGCCCATGGGAAACGCTTTATGACAATTCTAAATCTTTTACGCGGATATTACTTTTCAATGACCTATAAAAGTTTCGCAGCAAAAGGAAGTGTCCATAGTAACACACCGGCGCCGCGCTATAAAATTCAACGTATGACCGGCGTTTTTACGGGGCCATTCGTATTTCAAAATTTGACGTTTCGAAAGATCGAGCGGAAATATTCTTTGACATTCTCACGTCGCGGGCGACATCGCGTTCCCGGAGCGCAGCGCGGTGCGCGACAGATATATAGATGAGGTGAATAAATTAACTTGAATTAACTAGGGAAAATTGACCGTCTATTAATATTCTCCGAGGCAAATGTGTCCACTGAATAAACGGCGCTATTGCAAGAGAGAGAGAGAGAGAGAGAGAGAGAGAGAGAGAGAGAGAGAAGGAAGGAGTGGAGAGGAAAGAGACAGACGACTTCTTCGCGAAGAGCAAGACAATTTGAAGGAATAAAGTTCTCCATGCGAGCTGTAGTTCTCTAACGAGCCGTGGTTAAAACTCAGCTTGTTCCTATCTCGTAACTTCCTCATAATAATACTCATGTTTAACTCTCGTCATTGCTGAAACAACAACAACCTAAGGAACGAGCCACTTACATTTCTGTCCCATCCGTTTGGAGATGTCGCTTGGTTTCAAAGTCGTGGAGATGAAATTGGAGAGGATTAAGCTCATAGTACACACCAAACAACGTAAGCAGTAGGCAAAACTGACTAACCACAGTCGATTATTCTTCTTATAATTCAAGAATGATCGACAGTGATCGATGAATTTTCTTACCGCTTACGTTTTCGCGGGTGCCATGGATGTTGTATGTGTGTGTGTGTGAATGTGTGAATGTGTGCGCGTGCGAAAGAAAAGAAAATAAAGTAGTTATCGACTGAAGTATCGTCGTGAAGTACAGTTTTATGTGAAGCGCGTGGATATCCGTCGCGTGAGCTTCGTATGAAAATTTCGTGCGAAAATCGCGCGACTTGCCGCCCCGTGAAAATCGATACCAGACGCGCCGAAAACACAACGAGCTCGCCGCGGCTTACCGCCAGGCGAAGTTTTCTCTCCACCGTTGAAAAGTAGCGAGCAAAGTGCATTGAGTGCAACTCGCGCAAGATCGACGATCCACCTAAGGGAGCTCTATTCCTCAAAATCGTCTTACTCTTCGCCAAAGGATCACCTTCCCCTGCCTTGCCCTGGCCGCCTCTCGGTATCGCGGCTCTCGCGATATACGCCGCGTATACGTAAGAAGAGCGAACTCCTATTCCGTATATCTCCCCAGACGACGACGAAGACATCAACAACAACGACAACGACGACGAGAGACGCGTCAAGCTTCGATTCTCGTGGTGAACGCGATCTTTGACGGGTCCTTGGACGCGTGTCGAGTGACAATCGAAGGAACTGACGTCCGTGTGAAGACGCTCATGGAGCACCAGCCGCGACTGCTGGTGTCGGGCGAGTAGTCGAATTGTCCGCAATTGTGGTGATTGATCTTGAGCGCGAAGGACACGCGAAGCCGAGGAGACGCGGAGCGAGAGACGATAATTGTGCAACGAGGAGACGCAACGGTGCCTAACCATGAGCTCCTGGATGAACTGTCCGTCCTCGTTGCTGCTGCTACTGCTGGGCCTGAGCCTGCACAGCGCGTGCATCACGCGGGCCAACGTCGCCGGTCAACACGGCGGCGAGCCGAGTATTCGCGATACACTGGTGGTGGAGACCAGCAGCGGTCTGATACGCGGCTTCTCCCGCACGGTGCTCGATCGCGAGGTCCACGCCTTCTACGGAGTGCCGTTCGCGAAGCCGCCGGTCGGCCCGCTGCGCTTCCGCAAGCCGGTGCCGATCGAGTCCTGGCACGGCATCCTGAACGCCACCACTATGCCTAACAGCTGCTACCAAGAGCGCTATGAGTATTTCCCCGGCTTCGAGGGCGAGGAGATGTGGAACCCAAACACGAACATCTCCGAGGACTGCCTGTACTTGAACATCTGGGTGCCGCAGAAGCTGCGTCTGCGTCACAAGGGCTCAGAGCCGCCCGGCAGCGCCGATAGCAACGGCATGGCGATCATGGTGTGGATTTACGGGGGTGGCTTCATGAGCGGCACTGCCACCCTCGACGTCTACGACGCCGACATTATGGCCGCGGCCAGCAACTCGATCATCGCGTCGATACAGTACCGGGTGGGCGCGTTCGGCTTCCTCTACCTCAACCAGCACTTCAGCAAGGGCAGCGAAGAGGCGCCAGGCAATATGGGTCTCTGGGACCAGGCATTGGCACTCAAGTGGCTGCGAGAGAATGCGCCCGCCTTTGGCGGCGATCCCGACCTCATCACGATCTTCGGCGAGTCCGCCGGCGGCAGCTCCGTGTCCCTCCTCTTGATCTCACCGGTCACGCAGAACCTGGTGCGTCGCGGCATTCTCCAGAGCGGCACTCTCAACTCCCCGTGGAGTTACATGACTGGGGAACGGGCGAACGAGGTGGCGCGGGTGCTCGTGGACGATTGCGGATGTAACTCGACGATGCTGCAGGAGAATCCGGCGCGTGTCATGGCCTGCATGCGCTCGGTCGACGCCAAGACCCTGTCGGTGCAACAGTGGAACAGTTACAGCGGCATCCTCGGCTTCCCGTCCGCGCCGACCATCGACGGCATCTTCCTGCCCAAGGATCCCGTGGACTTGGTCAAAGAGGCGATCTTCGAGAAGACCGAGATCATGATTGGGAACAACCAGGACGAAGGTAGGGCACACACATCGTTGCTTTAGCGCGTGGCGATGTTTTACGGCGGAATTATCGTCGGCGCTATTTACGGCCGTGCGGTTAAGCCGAGGCTGGCTCCGGCCGGCTTTTTGTGAATGAGAATATGTGTTTCTCCGCCATCTGGGGCTGCTATGTCGCCGGAAGGCGGACTTGGTCGAAAGGTTTTTTCCGGTTACGATTATTTGAGTATGACGAAAACTCAATAGCGTGGCGCTACGACTCGCTTTACGATGTGGGAAATAGGTGTTCGCGCTCGTGAACCTTTGGTCTATCTATTCTCTTTCCCCTCCCCCAAACCGCCCTGCACGACGCAATTTTCCCTTTTTACGTCACTTCTCAGCCTATGCGAGCAGGTATCTTTCCCGCGCATGATGTGTGTCCCACATAGGAAATCTCGTGGGATCTAATTGAAGTCCTGTCCGATCCGCTACAAAAGATTATGGGCTATGACTGGAAAATTTACGCAAAGTCAGGTTAGAAGCGTAATATTTCAAACACGCGATTTTAAGAAAATCACGCGATTCTAGAAAAATCAAACAGCTCCCAGGTGAAAATACGAAGAAGAAATATCATATTAGTTGTATTAATTTTATATGACAATTAACACATGATAATGACGTAACATGAAATTAAAAAGGGCCTAGAAAGTTTTCTTCTACTTCTGTCAAGACCCTATTAAAGCTTAGGCTCTAGACAGAGATATAACTCTCTTAAAAATTAGCACCTAAATCTGACAAGGCTCTATCTTGGTATACTTAACTAGACTCTGACTAATATGACGAATTGAGGCTTTATTTTAACATATTTTTTAAGGTATAATAAATTAAATCCTTTCTTAGCACGGCTTGTTACTATCACAACAAATTGTGTAATATTAAAATTCACACTTATCTTTAGTGTTTAAAATATAACACACATCAAAATTCTTATTTTGTACTTATCAACCATCAAGTTATTAACTAATGCGACACGCTACTTCCGCGCAGACCCTTTGTCTCGTCGTTTTACCGTCTGACGTCCGCGCGTCAAATTTTCACGATGGGCTTCCTAACGAGTTCTGAAATTATCTTCCTTTGAAAAAGCCCTTGATAGAGATCCTAATCTATCTAATCCTGCCCTTAACTATGAATGAATAATCGTTTCTTCATAGAAACCATTTCGGGGTTAGTTGACTTGACCCTGACTGAATCTTATTAGTACAAGCCTCATTTGGGGCATCCATGTCAGCATCAATTCATGACCTATTTGCGAAATTCTGTTCAGAATTTGCCTATCTTAGTCATATCTGGGCTCTATGAAGGCATACCTATTTTGGGTCACTTCCGGTTAGGACCACTACATACTTCGGGCCTGTTCCGATTAAGTCCCATCCGGGAATTAAGTGTGTTTTGATTGGAGAAAATAGAAGTTTTGGTTCTTGGAAACTGAATTTAGTTTATAAGAACGAAAAATTTTGTTTCTTTTAAAAGCCAAAATTTATTTAGTCTTGCTATTGTCATATTAATTGAACCAATATTTCTACCGTGCATTAGATCTGTCTGATGTTTTCTGGTTTCCATTTTAAATTAGAGTTGAGAAAAACATATGAAATATATTAAACTTTCGGCAATTATAAATGTTTAAAAAGTGTATATGCTTGAGGAGTTTAAGCTTTTTCACCTTTAATATTATTGAATTCAATAATTGATCAAAGAATTGATTAGATTAACGTGATAATGACATAACTACACGTATTTTGGTTGAAGAAAACAGAATTTTTGGTTATTAAGAATCAAATTTATAAGAATAAGAAGTTTTATTACCTTCAAATCAAAATTTAGCTTTGCCATTGTGTTATGTTAATTTAATCAAACTTTTTTTTCTATGTATGGAAGTATAGCTATTTTACTCATTAAAAAAGAAAAAATGAATTTCCATAATATTTTTTCAACCTCCCATGAACAGAGAAAAAAATCATGTTCAGAATAAAAATAAAATTTTCAATTGATATCATAGTAGGATAATCTATTTTGGGACAAATTTAGGCATTTTGATTAGGGACTCTACGCTGTTTCTGAAAAAAAAAAATATTAAAACATTTCTATGCGGGACATGTGTACAGCTTGTTGGAAACATCGCGTCGGATGTTATTCGATGCACTCGACACGATAGATTCTCCCAGCAACATGAAGCTAGATTTCGATGAAGCGTCGAAATATCGTAATTTCAGCCTTGAATGGGCCTATCTATTCCGCCCTCTTCCACTCTCTCTCCCTTTCCTGCCCATGACGCAATTTTCCCTTTTACGTCACTTCCCAGCCTATGCGAGCGGATATCTTTCCATGCTCCAATGTGTATGTGTGCAGAATGTTGCAAAATCGTCGCACCGAATGTTATTTAACTCTTTGCGCTCCAAGTGCCAACCTGGTTGGCTTCGAGGAATTTTGGCATTCTGCCCGCACGTGTAAATCTAGTCAGCGGTAACACAATGAAACTGTACTAAATTTTACTCAAAACTACTGTAACCGACTGTTGACAAATGGCTTCCTTTCACTTAACTTGACAATATTTATGAGTAACATCGCGCAAAAATCTATGGAGCGCAAACGGCTAAAATACACTCGACACAATCGATTTTTCCAGCAACATGAAGCTAAGTTTCAATGACACGTCGAAATCTCGCGATTACAGTCTCGAACACTCTAATAATTAATGTCGTGAGAATTCTTCCAAGGAAAGGTCTATTTGAAGCTCGCGGAAGGATCCACTCATATCTCTGAAATTTAATTAGCGAGTGCTACTTAATTCTTAACGTACAACTGTCGCCTAGATTAGGATCTCTATCAAGGGCTTTTTCAAAGGAAGATAATTTCAGAACTCGTTAGGAAGCCCATCGTGAAAATTTGACGCGCGGACGTTAGACTGCACGGGCGGTAAAACGACAAGTCGAAGGGTCTGCGCGAAGGTAGCGCGTCGCATTTCCGTAAATTCTTCCGTCTTTTCATTACTGTAATAATCGTCTACGACGTGCTTGTCTACGTTGAAGCTTGGACGTATCAGCAAATACACCGTTGTGTCCAAGTCAAAGTCCTGGAACTTAAATGTTCCCGTTATATTTTCGCTCGACGATGTAACCAGTTATTAAGAGAACGCCATACTTGAAAACTTCACCGACGAAATATCCACTTTTTTCTGCAAAGTTTACGTATTGGGGTTACACAAAATTATGATTTCGTATTTTTGCACACTGAAAATACGTTTAATAATGAATTGGGGCGTGGCTCAACATGTGACATAAACGATAGAAAATTTTAAAATTGTCATCTGGAACTGTCAATTGGTGTAAATATTTATATGATACAAAAGTTCTGCAGAGCATATACGTATCGCAAACCGTGTATGCTAACGAATATTTCAAGGAACATTTCTGTATCTTTACAAATGAATTAGTTCAGAGACATACGAAAAGTTTGCAGAAAGATTTCTATATATGCGTGGTTATGTTTTCTGCTAGCACATAGTAAAAAAAGCACATACATTTATATACGATCTATATGCACCAGAAATACGAAAAGGATAGTATAACCGTATTAGTAATGATCGCTTCTAGGTTATCGACATTTTTCGAGCTCGTCATCCATTTCGGCATCCCCTTAAGCCAGAATTACCCCGAGATAGAACTGCGTAATGATAAAGACCTGATTATGTCGTGGCCAACCGGTGGTTCTGGCGTATATCGATTAAATGACCGATATACTACGACGACGTATGCGTGTGCGTGCGCGTGTGTGTATCGTGTGTCTGTATGCGTACGCGGGTGTGTATGTGCTCGGGCTCTAACCCGAACCGCGCTGCTTTTTCGTTGATGAGCAGAATTATTAGTATGTGACCTTTAATTAGTGCGCAGTGCGATACTCACCTCGCGCACTAATGATGTTCATTCAGTCGAAATTACGAACTCGTTGCTCTCTCGTTGCGTGAAAAGAGAAAGAGGAAGAGACAGGGAGAAAGATATATATATATATATATATATATATATATATATATATATATATATATATATA